AGAAAGAAAGAAAGAAAGAAAGAAAAAGACAAAGAAAATGTCGGTAACACTTTTCCTCCTCTCCAGTGGATGGCGATAGTGCTTCCTCTCAATATGTCAATTTGAAAGAGAAGAAGCAACGTCGGAACAAGCAAAGTAAAGCATTAATTTTAGTAGGATCATTTACAGTCCAGATGAGATAAGTCTATTTTATTTGTTTTAAAATGAACGAAAATGCAGGGGAAAAGCCTTTTTCAATTCGCATAAATTGAAATGCATATTGTTACAGTTAATAATTCTTGGAAGTGTCATAGTAAATAAATCCCTAAACACTTCCGTAAACACACAAATGCCTTAAATATTTCCTCACTGGCTGCCCGCAGTCATCGAGTAAAGGTCAGTAACCTGGAAGTCTCGTCTTATCAAGATCGAGGCGTGCGGGTAATCGAGAAATTTGCTGTGAGTTTCTGTGCCACTTTATAATTCTGTCTTTGATACAAATACAAACACTGGCTGGCAAAGTGAGATAGTAGTTGTTATCTAATGTTTTGTTATGTAAAGTAAATGCAAAATCTGTTATGCATGTAAATGCACGTGTGTCACTTAAATCGATATCTAGATCTGAAATGTTGTTCACTTACAAAACATGATAATGACAAGATAGGTGTAATAGGATTTAATAAACACAGTCTTTAGCTTACAGTGTAATTATTTCTAATGTCATGCTTGATTTGAAGGTCATGGCTGAGGTGCAGATTCGTCGCTACCGGGAGGAAGATCATGAAGAAGTAAAGGAGGTTTTTACTCTCGGCATGAGCGAGCACATCCCATCGTCCTGCATGCACGTTCTCAAACAGCCCCTAGCGCAGATGTTTCTGGGATGTGTGTTTTGTGCTTTGCTGACCAGCTCAATGTCCATCCTATTACCTGTACTAGCAGTCACGCTGCTTTTGGCCGCAGGCAGGCAGAGTGTGAGTTATATGTTCACCAAGTACATCCAGACCTGCCTTGAGCAAGATCTTAACCACATTCAGCAGACCTACCTGGATCCACCTACCGCCTGCTTCTGGGTGGCTGAGAGCCAAGGTCGTGTTGTGGGTACAGTAGCGTGTTTGCCTGCCGAGAAAGACCAGAACTTCCTGGAACTGAAGCGGATGTCGGTTAAAAAGACTCACCGTGGACAAGGCATCGCCAAAGCGCTCTGCCGCACGGTGGCTGACTTCGCTCGTGAGCGTGGTTTTCGAGGATTACTGCTTCACACGTCTGTGGTCCAGACTGATGCACAGAAGCTCTATGAGCACATGGGCTATCAGAAGGTCAGTGAATTTAGTGCTCCGGAGGCGATTGCCAAGCTGACTAATTTCACATTGATAGAGTACCAGCTCGTCCTCAAACAACATCGCAACTGAGATTGAGATCTCCAACTGGTTCAGATCACTAATGAAGCACACCACTGTAATAATTTGTCTGTTTCTTCTTTAAATCATCAACCTTGGAAAAAAGGGAACTTTTCTTTTATAAGAAATTGTTCATAAAAAAAAAA